AGGATGTCATGCTTGGTAGGGTGGAGGGTCGACGAAAGAGGGGGAGGCCTTCAAGGAGATGGATTGATACGGTGGCTGTGATGATGGGCTCAAGTTTAGCAGGGATTGTGGGGCTGGCGCGGGATTGGGCAGTGTTTCATTCTGCTGTGCATGGGGTCGCTATGAGTTGGAAATGACTCAACGGCACTTAACAACAACAACAACAACAATTGTCCCTTGGACTAATTGTTTCCATGTGTCTTTGGTTTTCTTCATTCTTCTTTGGTCTGGATGAGGAGTGACCCATCATTGCATCTAAGTGGCTGCTTGCAAGATTTTAAGACCCCAGTACCTACTCATCAAAGTAGGATCTAGCACGATGTTTTTGTGTAGTATTTTATGCCAATTGAGCTTCAAAAGACATGCATATTTAAATGTACACAGAAAACAGTTGTCATAGTGTGAACTACCACACAGCTCAACTCATTGTGTATCAGAGAACTGCTCCATATGGTTTTCGGTGACTATAGCAGTTCTTACACATTCTATTTCATGACATTGACTGCGATTCCCCACAATGTAACTGTTCTGATGTAAGTACATCACAAGGACTTTATTCTGCAGCGTCTCTAGAAACTCAAACCCCAGTTGTCACTTTATAGCGAGAACTTAAGATTTCCGGAGACTCTTTCTATGTCTATATGTAAGTCTATCTGTATATTTATGTCTGTATTTCTATCTAGGAGTTTTTGAGTGTTAGAAATTGTTAAGCATTTGACTAGTACCCATAAGGTTAGTGGTTTAAGCCCATCTAGAGGCACCTTGGCAGAACAGCCTGGTGATCTGCTACTGAAACATCCCAGCCTGGAAAGGCTATGGAGCACAGTTCAACTTTGCACACATAGGGTCATCATGAGTTATCGACAAACAATGAAGACTGAGAATGTGGACTAAAAGAACAATAAGGAGAGTCAAAGAAAAAGGGGAAGACCCTCAAAGACATGCATCGACACTGGCTGCAATGATGGGCTCAGGTATAGCAAGGATTGGGAGGATGGTGCCCGTGTGGGCAGTGTTTCGTTCTGTCGTTCATAGGGTCGCTGTGAGTTGGAGCTGACTGCGGCACCTAACAACAACAATAAAAGGAGAAAATATGGGGTGGGAAGAGTAAAGAGGACTAATGGGATAGGAATGTGTAGTTGGACGTATGGCAGCAGAGATGAGTGAATGGTTCCCAGGCATACACAAAACATGCTGTTGTGGGCTGAGCAAAAACCAACCAGTTATCGTCAAGATGACTTTGACTCCTGGTGACACCGCTTTTGTCAAAGTCAGACTGTGCTCCGTAGAGTTTACAATGCCTGTTTTGGAAGCAGACTGCCAGGTCTTCTCATGAGTCTGGGTGGACCCAAACTTTCACTCTTTTGGTTATCCCAAGGTGCGTCTGGGTGGGCTTGAACCACTAA